ATGTCCTCTACATATAGCAATCGTTCCTTCCCTACAATTTTGAACATACCCTGTCGGTAAAATCATGTAACTTCTTTTATCGGAGGACACTGCTAGTCTCTCCGTTCCTGCTTCTACCTGTACAAACTTGCCTAAATTTTGTTCGAATGAGGGTAACGGTATAGGTTCGTAAACGGTGTAGGTTCGCTGTTCGGTTCGTAAGGGTAGTTGGACAATGAGGCGAACTGATTCGCTCGTAGCCAGTACTGCAACCTCCGAAGATGCATAAAACAAATGCATGTTCTCCGGTTTCAAGGCTGCTATGAACGAGTAGCCTTGCTCTAATTGCACGTAAATATCGTGCAAAATCGCGAATAACTTGTGTGAGGGCAGCAAACTGGCAGTCAATCGGTGTAACGTTTCAATATCTAAGCTTAAAGCAAAGCTTGTCATATCTGTATAAATTTTCATTATTAATATTTCTAATTAATTCCCTCGTGTAACTACGTTCTCGCTGTATTCGCTATTTGTTCCTTGGTTCGCTTGACCTTCTATCATCTTAGCGTGCTCCGTTATGCTAATGTCTACCGTGACCTATCACACGGCTCCTCTTAACAAAATCTCGCGTTCGCCCACAAACGCATCCCTCTATCGATCTCGAGCCCTACAGCTCCGTTGGTTTCAGGTTTCTCTCCACCTGACGACATAGGATGTACGTCAGTTTCCGTTACCTCTGCACTTGTTTCGGCCTCCGGCCGTCTTTATTCTTTATAATTACGCTGAATTCTGGGGCGTGGTGAATAACCGTGTCGTTCTTCACTTAACACGTTCGTCTCGGTCATATTTAATGTTGACGAACAACCATTACCTGCCGCAATAACTTCTCTCTCTGCTATGCTTCCTGTCTCTCTCTCTCTTCTGCTGGCGCAAAAGTGCTGATTCTGCGGTTTGATTCAGTTGTGTCTTGTCTCTCGTACTGTGCACGCGAGTATAGTGGCGCGTACGAGTATCGAGGCTCCTCCTCACCGTCTCTCGACGCTGAATCATCTGAGTTCGTCTCTCCTTCTTGTCCGAACCTAGGTCTCTGGCTCTCATTCCTTGTCTGTTTCGTCTCTCATACGGCGCGTATGAGTATGGAGGCCTCTCGTGGCACTCTTCTTCCGATTCTGAGTCGTCGGAGTCTGTTTCTTCACCTCTCCAGAGGCTGGGCTTCTGTTCCCTCATCCCTCGCCGACGTTGCCTCCGTCTCTCACGGAGCTCTTCTCGTGTGGCTGTGCATAGTTTCAGTTGCTCTATGTGCAGAGTCACTTCTCTTTTCTCGATTTGTATCCTGTACACTAGGTCAGAGATTTTTCGTATCACCTGATACGGGCCTATCCATTTAGGTTCTAAATTTCTTCCCTTTACCATTTGTTTTCGGTACACAAGCTGGCCGGGACGATATTCCACCCTTCGTGCTTTCTGATCGTGGCGAGTGTGCTGGTCCCTAATCACTTGGCTCAGTTTCCTCCTCGGTATCTGGTGTGCCTTTCGTAGTTGTCCGGCCAATCTGGCCACTCGCCCTCGCGCGCCGTCTTCCCCGGCGTTCCTCTTTTCTTAAGCGGTTAATTATCTGTCCGCTGGGCCCTTCATTTCCGTACCGTGCGTTAAGTGGTAGGGCGAATACCCGGTGCTACCGTGTGGCTGCGATTGGTATGCCCATAGAACTAAATTGAGATGGTCGTCCCAGTTCGTCCCACTGGGGTCCGCATACATGGCCAGGCCCGCACGTAGGGTGCGGTGAAACCTTTCCACCTGGCCGTTGCTTTGGGGCCGGTACGGACTAGATAATATTTTGTCCACTCCTAGGAGTCGACATATCTCTCGGATTAATTCTGATGTGAAGTTCCGCCCTCGATCGCTCAGGAGTTTATCACACACTCCGTGGCGCGTAAAGATGTGCATGACCAGGGCGTTAGCTACCGTGGTGGCTTCCTGGTCAGGGAGGGGCACTGCCTCGGCCCACTTCATGAAGTGATTGAGGTAGGTCAGGAGGTATTGGTTACCTGTCTTAGAAATAGCGTAGGGTACTGTGATGTCGATCGATGCGACTTCCCCTGGTTCTCTGGCCACGGGTAGGCTGCCCATGGGCGCTGTGGTCACGCGACCTACCTTCAAACGAGCGCACTGGTCGCAACTCAGAACGTGATCCTCTAGGTCCCTGTGTAAGTTAGACCAATAGTGTATTTTTCGAATCCATTGCTGTGTCTTCTTGACTCCAGCGTGCGCTGCGAATTTGGCATCGTGGTGGTCCCGTATGATCCTGCCCACCAACGTCTCCGGTATTACTAACCGAGGCGTTCCTTCCTGGTCCTTCCGATATAACAGACCGTCCTCGTCGATGATGTACTCTCTCCATGAGTCTAGATCCTCCTTCACCTTCCTGCAAAATTTATCTAGCTCCTGTTCCGCTTTCACTTCAGGTCTAGTTACCTGTCGTTCTATCGTGAGAGTCCCAATATGGCGAGATAAGGCGTCTGGCACGCAGTGGTGCTTTCCCGGTAGGTGAAGTACCGTATATTCGAACAGGTGAGTTTGGCACTCGGGTCTTTTAGTTTCAATAGCCAGAATAACGCTCGGTGGTCGGTTACGAGCGTGAACTTGCGACCGTCCAGGTAGCACCTGAACTGTTTAGTTCCGTACACTACGGCTAATGGTTCTTTCTCTGTGACCGACAGTTTTTTCTCAGCAGGAGTCAACTGTCTACTGGCGTAGCTAATCGGACGTTCTCTCCCCTCCTGTACCTGGGCTAGGACTGCTGAAATTCCTTGGTCACTCGCATCGGTGTGCAACCTAAACTCGCGGGAGGGGTCCATACTTGGGTAAGCAAGCACAGTGTCTGAACTGAGTTCTGCTTTCAAGCGTCTAAATGCCGTTTCTTGTTCTTGGCCCCACTGAAAGTCGTGGTCCTTCTTTGTTAGTACTGTAAGGGGTCGGCTAATGTCTGCATAATTTGGGATATACTGCCTGTAGTATCCGCTAAGTCCCAAGAAAGATCGTACTTCGGTCACTGTGCGGGGTCGAGGGTAGTCTCGAACAGCCCTCACCTTGTCGTCACTGGGACTAACCCCTCCTCGAGTTACACGATGTCCTAAATACTCCACACTATCCTTGGCAAAGTGACACTTTTCCAAATTTAGGGTTAATTTTGCAGAACGGAACCGTCCAAAAACTTCTCGTAGGCGTTCAGAATGTTCCTGTAAAGTGCGTCCGAAGACTAACACATCGTCCATAAAAACTAAACATGTCAGTCCTAATAGCACTTCGTCCCTAACCCTGGTAAAGGTATACGGTGAACGCGCTAAGCCGAAAGCTAATCTTTCGTACTAATGCGTTCCGAACAGGGTTGTTATCCCTGTCTTGTGTTTGTCTTCTGGTTTTATCCCTATGTGATAGTACGCGTCTTTAAGGTCCACGAATGAGAAGTACTGATTCCCATTCAACCTATCCAAATTCTCCTGCACTAAGGGCATGCAAAACACCGGTGTCTTTGTTACGGCGTTCAAGCCCCTAAAGTCGGCGCAGAACCGATACTTAACCGTCCCATCTGTACTCTTTTTTCTAATAATGATTACTGGGGCGGCCCATTCCGTGGCGACTTTAGTCAAAACTCCTCTCTCTACCATCTCCTCTACTTGATTCCATAATTCGTCCCGCAAAGCATACGGGATTCGATAGGGGATCCGTTTTACTGGCCTGGCATCACCAGTATCAATTTCGTGGTACCCTACGTTTGTACGCGGAATTATTCTGTCTTCCCTCTTCTTACATAAGTCTTGGTAGTCTAACAGAGTTGGTCTCACGACTCGTCTTTCTTCTTCTGTTAGGTGGTTCAACTTTTCTTCCAGCAATCTTGGTACGTTCGCGTTCTGTTCCATCACTTTGGGGTTCATCTGTCGGGGGTACCAATCCGCCTTCAATACATTCGGTCCGTAGGTTGCGTCATTCCCTATGACGCTGTCAATGAAGTCATCCTCCGTGACGTCATATATGTTCGCAATTTTCGTCCCCGCTTGCAACATAATCGGTTCTCTACTTGTGTTAATCAGTTGTGCGGTACAATAAACCGCTTCCTTCTTATGCTGACCCTTGCTATTGCCGTCAGCAATTTCTTTAGTTCCTACACGCGTCTAGCGTTCCTCATGGTCTACTAACATTGAACTCGTAAAAACACTTGAAACTGTATGAGCTGCGTATACCCGCGAAGTGGTATTTCCACTGGTTCTGCTTGTACCTATCCCTTGAGTGTCGATTTCGGGGCGGCTTTCCTCTGTAAGTCCGTTATCATGGCCCTCGTAACCAGGAGCGTCCCTGGCTCCAGATGCACTGTTTGCGGCAACACGGCTTGCTACTGGTGGAGTTCTTCTACCCGTCCGCTTTCCGTCGCGGTATCGGTCCGGCTGGATTCCGTGGGGCCTCCTTTACCCTCTCAACCACCTGTCTTCTTGACTCCGTGGTTGCTTTCACAGCCGTTTCCCTCCCTTCTTCTGCACCTTGCAGAGGTCGCGGCTCCGTCCAACAGACCCTTACTCGTCTGTCCACTTTCCGTCTACCTGACGGGTAATTCGTCAGTTTAATCTTCTGGCCATCCAACTCTATTTCTTCGGTGGCCAAGTCAATACGGGTGTTTAGTGTCCTCAACAGATCGAGCCCCATAATTCCATCCTTCTTGATCGGAAAGGGCGCTACTACAAAATCGTGGGTGTATTGCCTGTCTCCTATTAAGAAATCCACTTGTCTTGTGCCTTGTATTTCCAATTTCTGTCCAGTGATACCCCTAACCGCATCTATAATCTCCTTCGTGGGCTCCTCCCCCACGTAAGGTTGGACTAAACACACGTCTGCTACTGCGTCTATTATGAACTCGTAGTTTGTCCCTTTGACTTCTATTCTGATACACAGTTCTTTATCTTCTCGTGCTGTCACGAATGGAATCCACGCGGCTTCCTTTCGGCGGGTGACGGGGTTCACTACCGCCGAAATTAATTTGGGGAGCTCTGCTCCCTCTGGATCGTGGGCTTTCGTCTTGCCTCACAATCCCTAGCTATGTGGCCTTGCCGTCCACACGAAAAACACTTGACTGGGGGTCGAACCCAATCTCTGTTCGCATCTCTTCGTTCCTTGGATCGTCGTACCGGCGATCCTTGTGGCTGGCTTCTCTGGTCCCATGGCGGTCTGTATCCCTTCGGACTTGTGTAGCTCTTCCTTTCCGTCTTCACGGTCAGCGTATCATGATCCTTGCGGTGAGGTTCCATCCGCTTCGCATTGTATACCACAGTCGCTATGTTTAGCGCCTGGTCCAGAGTTTCCGGATTTCGAATCCGTAACTCCCTTCCGGCCTCTCCTCTCATTCCATAGATGAAATTAGTGAGGAGCCTAAATTCTGCTTCCTCTTTTAATATGCGCTGCACTGTCGGGTCTTCGCTCTTCCTCACGGTCTTCGTGCTCAGTGCCCGACACCTGTCTAAAAACTGGATGGGCGACTCTTCCTTCCCTTGCGTGGCTTCGTGTAGTAGATTATAGTGGTACCGAACTGGTAATTTCTCAGTAAAACGGTCCACTAGTGCTGCTTTTAACACTTCATATCTCACGTTGTCGTTGGTTAACTGGTCTCTACCGTCAACGAATTGCCTAGCTTCACCTGTTAACTTGGCCTTTATGATGTTTACCACGTCTTCCTCACTCCAATTACTCACACGCGCACACTGTTCTACCTGGGCTAAGAATTCTGTTACCGGTTTCGCTTGCGACTGACCATTCCATTCCCTAATACTCGTTGCCAGTGATAAATCCTTTGTTTTCACTCCTATTGTCAAACCTTTCAACTGTTGTTCTAACTGTGCTATTCTTTTCTCCATTTTGTGGTTCCCTTTTATCTAACCTTACTTAGTACTTGTCCTACCACCTGTCTCTTCCTAGGTGTGTGTTCGAATCACGACGCTGCCGCCACTGTTAAGCCGTGGCGACAGGGGGCGTGGAGATGTCCCGCTCTGTCACCCGGTTTAGTATGCTGCCACCATCTTGTTCTGTCAAGAAAACTCAAGTAAACTTATCGATCGCTTACGTCACTGGTCCTGGCTTTAACTAGCCATTCGCCGAAGCTTCGGGAGGTGCTGGAGTCGTCAGGGAAGAGGGTAACACTTGAGGCAACGCTAGGTTTAATTAATATCACAGCGCATTTCTATCCTACTCTATTCACCTCTGTCGCTATATACATAATATACACACTTTGCCGACGTTTGTCGGTTGGCATTACATATGGCTATAACCCTGTAGTACACACATTAAGTCCATCCTGTCACCCTGATATTGGGTACTCAATACCTTTATCTCTCTTTCTCAATAAACCTAGTCCATCTATTCTTCACTTTCTCTTCCTGGGGTTTTCACTTAAATATTATCACATTGAATGTTCATGGCTTATATGAAGTGAGTCTACTTACGTGAGCTAAGGAAACGGGCGCTCGCCATCACCCTCTCGGCGATAGCCTTCGGCTGAACTCTATGACAATTAATAATATTCAAAAGTATTTTGATTGATNCCATTATTTCTATTTCTTAATCTTAACCCTTTCGCGCGGTCATTTAAATTCCGCTGCCGTGTCTCTCCGGCGGTAATATATTCAGCCGACTATTTAAATTTTGCTCGAAATTGATTTATTCATCATTGTTCTTAAATTATATGAGATAACAACATGAAACTTTCACTAAAATGATCTTAAAAGGTGGTTTTATAACCTTTCCTTATAATATGAGCGCCCGGTATCTCGGCAATGGAAGCAGGTGGTTTAGAATTTGAGCAGTGTATGGTACGCCTTGAAGCATGAAACTTTCACTAAAATGATCTTAAAAGATGGTTTTTATAACCTTACCTTATAATATGAGCGCCCGGTATCTCGGCAATGGAAGCAGGTGGTTTAGAATTTGAGCAGAGTATGGTACGCATTAAAGCATGAAACTTTCACTAAAATGATTTTAAAAGATGGTTTTTATAACCTTGCCTTATAATATGAGCGCCCGGTATCTCGGCAATGGAAGCAGGTGGTTTAGAATTTGAGCAGAGTATGGTACGCATTGAAGCATTCTTCTATACACAACGCTGTCTCACATTCACCACACCAATACTGCGTATCTCTCATTTGGCTCTTTTTCCGTAAACCAAACATCTTCTGTGCGGTCTTGCCTTCTTCTCAAAGGGGGAATATGAAGAAATGTCTTTCCGTGAGTCGTATAGCTTGCCAGATCAGCTGCAGTAAATTCAACCTTTATGTTATCATAACAAGTGGTTGGTGCTATGCGTTTTATATTCCATCCATTTTGGCTGCAGCAGATGTCAAAGGGGTGACCACAGAATTTATGGAGTTATTCTAAGAACTGACTGGTATGTAGTGCACGAAAGCAGAGCTTAGCTGGCTCAAAAAGAAATATTTATGGTCATCCCTCGAAACGACCACCAAGGTCAGTACGATAAAATGGAGTCAACTGGAGCGATAATACATGAAGGAATGAGTTCTTTTCCCTCCCCCACACACACCCGTATCGTCACAGGGGGTGACCACAGTGTTCTGCCTTAATTTGTGGCGTTTTTCTAAGAACTGGCTGCCATGTACTGTGCGAAATCAATCGATCTTGCAAGAATAAAATTTGGACATCCCTCTTCTAAGAATTCCAATTGAGTGTGTTAGTGTGGCCAGCTCAGGGCAATATGATATTATAAACACAGCACATATCACGTCTCTGCTGTTTATAACTTCATAGGAAAGAAAACACGCCATTCATAACAGTTTGAATGAGAAAACCTCTTCCAAGAGCAACAGGATTTTGCTGCAAGACAGGCATATGTAACGATGACTTAACGCAGAGTCTAGATACACTTATTCCAAATTTACCCCAAAAAAACATATCTACTTGTACATAACCCTTGCGCCATTACATGGACTCTATCCATCGTCTGGTATATAGAAGATAAAAACTAAACGTTTCGGAGATTGGATCTGTCTCCGTCCTCAGGTGGATTGGTCAGGATAAACCTACTCAGATGGGTCCGTTAGAAAGAGCTAGTCTCAATCACTGGACCCAAACTCAGTTGGGCCCGTTAGAAAGAGCTAGTCACAAGCTTTATCCTGCCCAATACACCTGAGGACGGAGACAGATCCAGTCTCCGAAACTTTGGATTTTGTCTTCTCTATACCAGATGATGGATAGAGTCCAAAATAAGCCTAATAGTTCTGTACAAAAATGTGAGTAATTTTCACTAATATATACTATATTTACATTTCAGGAATTTTCTAATGTGTCAGCTAAAAGAATTACAATTAAACAAATTAATAATACTTGCAAATAATTCCCTGTATTTTTCCAACTTTTGCACCTGTTCCTCTTGAAACTAAGAAAACGTCGCTTGTACCCTTTTGCGTCTGACTCCCTCATTGCATTTAAATTCTTAGGTCTTTTTCTTGAGAGATTCTGATTTTACGAGGGACAATCAGCAAATAGGTGACAAATGGATATAAAACGTAAAACATATGACATTCGAAATTGGGGGGGGGGATATGTATTTCTCTACATATCCTTCACCAATATTGATACACTTGTCCCAACGCTTTACCAGTGCGTCGAAACCCGCAGCATAGAAGTCTTTTGACTGTTGTCTCAGCCACTTCCGCACCTCCGTTTCACCTCATTATCATCAGCGAAACGTTTGCCACAAAATGTGGAACCGCTTTATGCGACAAACACTTCCCAGCGTAAACGGCAAACATATCTTTATGAGTATCCTTTGCATTGAGTCCTTTTGCACACAAAAATCGCACAACAGAACGTTGCTCTTCGGTAGTATAATCCTCGAGCATGGTCACCATTTTCACTACTGAAACCAGCCTCTGAACATGATCATGCGCGTCTGCTACCTAGACTGTCATGAAGGTGAACTGTGCTCCTACCTTGTGATACACATAGAAAACCTATTATGTCCATTACGGCTGCTTTACTTCCATTTGTGACTTATTTACTGACTCTCCCTCCTACTTTACAGGTATCATCATGGTTCTTGTGAACGTAATTCTCATTCCTTCCGGATAGTCTCATGTTTCTGAACTATGTCATATTGTCTAAGAATTTATTTTTATGTATGATTTAGTCGTATATCCTGGTGACCACACCTGAATGAACATTTAGTTTTCTCTGTGTTTGTTTCGACATCCTTCCCAGTGTCTAACGAGGCTTCTGTATGATACGAGTATTTATGTACCGTGGGCCCGAGAGTAGATATAAACATAGAAACGAACACAAAAATTTGTATTCCCACTAGAAATCGATCCTCAGCTTTTCAGCCTTGTAAGAAGTATTTTCCTGAATTATATTGTCTCAGAATATTAATTAAATATGTATATTATTGATTGCTTTATTAACACCCGTTATTAATTCAATGAGAACAGTCTTATCCTTTGTTATATAAGCTTTAGTGCTTATTAACTTCCCTCGCTTTCTCCCGTATTCCTTTTCAGCTTTACACGTTACCGAATGATACGCCGAGGCTAACGTTTAGCATTATCTCCCACAAATAGTATGTAAATATAGTCAAAGCTATATTACACTTCAATTATTGACATCAGAATATTACCAAAACTCACAGAATAAATTTGAATTGTTGAAATAAAGAATTCTTGCTCGATCTTGACCTTATAAATGATTTACGTCTATGTAACTTGTTAACGCACGACACTTCGTTGTTATGGTAACCGGAACTCGTCAATGACACTCTTGCGAAACTGTGTGTATGTACAGAATGGCCCAGAAATAAGCAGAGAAAATTGGAGGGTGAGAACAACGTCCCAAACTAATGAAGATATTTTATAAAAAACATGGGTCCGAAAATACTTTGGTGATGGACTAGAGCCATTTGAAAGCGTTTTGGCAAAACCAGGATTAGAAATATGGTTGCAAAAGTAACCCTCCTGAAGAAAATTGGAGTTCACAGTGGACGGTGTGAACAGTTACTTGACCTTTATCACTACCCCCTTCCCCAGGACCCTCCCCATGTCATCCGGACCGGTTCTCAGGCCCACCCAGCCTCCTATCCTATAGGCTCCGAGGGTTCTTTCCCGGGAGTAAAGCGGCCAGGGCGTGGAGTTGACCACTCACCTCCAACTAGTACCCAGGTCAAGAATACGTGGATATACACCTCAACTCCCCCATATGTCATGTCACAGTAATTAATTAATTAAGCACAGGGACATCTGAGCCACGTGTATCGTCGTTGGTTGAGGTACTGTCCTACAAGACGGAAGGTCCCGGGTTCGATTCCCGAAGAGGTCATCGCCTTTTTCAATTGATCTAATCCTTCCAGCCGCACTATGGCTCTGTGGTCGATTCAGCTTCAAACAGAAATTAGTACCAGGAACCTTCCTGGGAGGGGGTAAAGGGCAGCTGGCGCGTAAGGCTGAAAATCTCACCGCCATATATGAGCCGAGTGTCTAGAAAATTAGGGACTCTTAATGTCTCACAACGTATGGGCCTTCACGACCTGTTACAGGGGTAGTTTTGCATTCTTCACAGACACAACTCTGTTTTTCTACCACCTTCCCTAGCTGACAAGAAAATATACAGTTGACAAGTTTACGTTTGTTGTGATTTGACCGAGTACACTAACGTGTGACTTAGGGCAATAATGTCCATTCAACTGTTCACTCAAGTGGTATTCCTTCACTGTCGCAGTTACTGTGTTACGTCTCTGCTTAAAATGGAGCGCTACACAATTGTGTGAACAAGCCGATATGCAAGAAATCCCCGGCAAAGCCGGTGTTAAGAGCGCAGCAGCTGGGGCTGTACGCTGACTGATGTCTTAGGCTGAAAACCC